CGTATTTGTACTAATTTGAATATTAATTTACATTGTGAGTTGAAATCAGTTGATAGAAAATTGTTTTTTATTCCTCCCTTCGGTGTAGATGTGGCCGGAGGAAATTCCTCAAATAAGTTCTCCGTGTCCATGTGGTCCATTTTCTTAAAAAAAATAATCCCATGTATGAGAGGCATTGAAAAGATAAAATATAATATTTAGTAGTATACGATGCAATTTATTTATTAAACTAACTGGTTTATATAATAAAACTAGTTTGTAAACTCGTGAAAGAGGTGATGTAAAATCGGGATAGTTATAGTTAAGATAGTTATTGTCAACAGGTATACAAAAATATTTGTACTCAATTAAACTTTTCGAAATTCTTATTTTTTCATTATTTAGTCTACTTGCAATCAAAAAGTCCAGAAAAAGATTCAAGAGGTTCATCAAAGTAATTCCATAATTTATTAAAATTATGCCCAGTAACTAATTCTTCTCCAGATTCCACAAGTGATTCTGTAACTTTGTGTCTTTTTCTTTTTTTTTTGAACTAATTATAAATGACCCGATTTTTAATTTTTTACTTCATGTAAATGTTTTCGTTCTTTAATTCTTAAAAACAATTGTTGTAAAATATTAGTGGGACTTTTTATAACTTTTTTCAAGTGCTGCATAATGTTTTCAAATTTATAGGCCGAAAACGAATCAATGGCGATATCATATAAGTGAAGCACTAAAGCTTATTATGAATACTGAAGCTTATTAAATGATCTCCGAATATACTACCAAATAGATTAACAAAGTCTAGCAACAATTGTTGAACTACATTCTTTGTGGTGTTTTTCCGATCAGTTTAGTTTGGTTGAAATTGTTATATTTGTTAGGCTTTTGTGATCTAACCGTTGTGTAAGTAAAAATACTTTATTTAGCTTTTTCCCGACGTTTCGCTAAGATTTTTAGCATCTTCAGGGGAGTTTTTTGTTTATTTACCTGCGCAGCAATAAATATAAAACATTAAAAAACAACAAAAAACCAACAAACATATGAATACATAAAAAACAAATAGCTAAGTTTAACACAAAAGAGTTATTAACTTACATTACATTTAACATTAAACTTTATAACGTAAAACTAAATAGTATTACCAACGCTTGTGGTAGCTTTGTCTAAACTGAATGTTATTGATAATTTATAAACATAATAAATAAACTGCAGCGATGTCATCAGTATCCTATTTCTTGTTCATTGCATTGTCCCTTTTCTGCATTATTCTTAAGCTTTCTAATGTTCTTGTTTTTGTTCTTTTCTCTACATCAAGTATTCTTGCGTTCGCCAAATCAGCTGTATGGCCACTGGTGTTAATATTGTTACGATTATCCTTGAAACCTCGTCCGGATTTCCCAAATCTCTCGGTTCGTATCGCTGGATTGTTAAATAAATGCAATCGATCACCAAATGGTAGTACAATTATCTTTATTGTACAACAAACAATTTTAC